TTTCCGTTTCTCCGTGTTACTATAGAAGTTCTTGTGACACACTGTGGCTAAATATTTATTTACTTGATAGTGTTATTTTTGTGGGCGTCATTCAGGTAATTCCCTCCTTATCACTCCTTTAATGCCATTTTCCTACTTACGACTTGCAATTATTTATTTCAAACGCAAATGACGTTGGTTAATTAGTCAGTCAATTGATAATATTGTCACGCCAGATCTGGTAAAGACGGAGCCCCGAAGGAGTACTACACCCTGGAATGTCTGCTATTTCTTCTGAAGAATGTTCAGCTCACACATCCGGTGTACGTCCGTCAGGCAGCAGCGGAGAATATTCCCCCAGTGCGAAGGCCAGACAGAAAGGATCTGCTGGCTTATCTCAATGGCGAGACCTCGACATCTCTGGCAATCGACAAATCCGCTCCCCTGGAGATTCCCAGCCAGGTAAAACGATCAGCCGATGATGTTCCAGAGCATCCAATCTCGAAGAAGCCAAAATACGAGGAGACTGATGTGCAAAAAGTGAAAGAGCAATTGGCAGCGAGACTAGACGCCCCCAAAGAGTCCTCAGTGACAGTTGACAATATAAAATCCCTCTCGGAGGCGATGTCAGTGGAGAAAATAGCCGCCATAAAAGCCAAAAGATTAGCAAAAAAACGTACGACAATAAAGGAGAACGACGATCTTGAAAATGGAACAGATCTGCGAGTGATTTTAGCTGACGACACGATTGTATCACGAGAGAGACAGTGGAGAACGAGAGATACGATTCTCCTGAGCAGTGGAAAGACATTCGGTAAAAATGTCTTTGCAATTTTGCAGAGTCTGAAAGTGAGGGAGGAGGGGAGAAGGCATCCACCAACGGACAAGCCGAGATCAGCGCCCCTGAGGCAATTACCACAGCCCACAGTCTACAGCAGATACGATCAAGAACGTTTTGTTCGTCAGAAGGAGGAAACTGAGGGTTTCAAGATCGATACACTTGGGACTTACCATGGAATGACATTAAAATCAGTGACAGAGGGCAGCAAACCTCAGACCAAGAAGGAACCAACTCAGAACCCTCCAACACAATCGGGATTGCTACCAGTCTCTGCTGCCAAGGCCTCTCTACAAGCTGTACAGAAGAAGAGGCCCAGCAAAACACCCATCATCGTTGTACCCAGTGGCAATACCTCTCTCATCACCATGTACAACGCCAAGGACATCCTCCAGGACCTCAAGTTCATTCCTAGCGAAGAGAAATGCGCTGCTGGCTGCAAACGAGAGAGTGAAATGCTTATTCAGAGGAGGAAGGATGGCGGACTCACTGTGCCTTACAGGATCATTGATAATCCTAGTAAATTGACCACTGACGATTGGGACAGGGTTGTTGCTGTTTTCGTGATGGGACCAGCCTGGCAGTTCAAGGGGTGGCCCTATGGGGGAAATCCTGTCGAGATATTCTCGAAAATTTGTGCCTTTCATTTAAAGTACGACGAGATGAGACTCGATGCTAACGTCGCCAGGTGGGCTGTCACCACCATTGAACTTAATCGAGCTAGGAGACATCTCGACAGGGCGAATCTCATGAGGTTCTGGGAGATCTTGGATAAGTACGTTTTTTACCATTTGTTTGTATTAGTATTCTGTGTTTATTATCTCATTTTGATAACATTTTTATATTTTTGTTGCAGACATATCTTGAAGAACAAACCTACCCTGCGTTTTTAATCCAAAGATGAGATTATGCTCGTGAAACTTGTATTTAAGGATGTCGACGAATGATTAATTCTTGTACTAATTGGTTGTCGAAAGTATAGGACTGTTGATGAAGGCATTTCTACTGGTGTTTTATCAGCGATTTGTGTATCTTGGGAAGGCACGATTCCCAGCTAGGATAATGATAAACATTGACAATCAGAGATATTATTTTACAAAGTTTGAGTGAAAGAATAAAGACCAGTTAGAAGACCATCGAGTGTTGCTTATTCTTTTATTAGTCCCAGAGATTTCCACAGGAAATATCTGGGCCTTTTCCGCTGGACAAACTCGTCTTTAATGAAATTGTGAAATCGACAGATGAAATTTATAAAAAATTATAATGTTTTGAATTGATCGAAAATATTTTTTATTGCTTTGCAAGTAGACCAGAGAATATTGCCTTGACCTTCTCTACCGAATCGTAAAAAACTACTGAATGAATAAATGAATTGGGCATTGTGAAACGCTTGAAGTCCATTTGGGTTGTATAAAAAAAAAATTCATGGAAATCTTTAATAGATCTTGGATTATCCCGTTCGCTGGGAAAATTGTTTTGAGGTCACTTAGAAGTTCTATCGATTTCGAAACCACATGCCTCCCAAATGAATTACCAATTTCAGGGGCAACTCTTTATGACCCCATGCATTATTCATCGGCGTTAAATCTAATTGCCATCCCAGTATGTAAACTGCGGAGTGCCATTATCTCATAGTACACGATGAAAAGGTAATTTCATAGAGAAATGTCATCAGGGCAATTTTCTTCTCCCATAAAACCAAGAATTCCTTACAAGAGATTATTACATCATCAAATGTTGTGTCCTTCTATTTTTTATTCAACCACTTCAATCGGGATTGAGTACCGAATTATCAATGGCATTTCAAGAACATTTTTATTTTACGATGAAAATGCCACAGGTGATCAGCTATAATCAGTAAAACATTTTCGAAAAATACATCAGCCCAAA